GAGAATATGTAGTTAAAATTTAAAGAAACTTTATTGGTTTGTGTAAAATATTTTATTGTGTGAGTGTGTTAGAGAATGTTACTGTAGTAAATAATTTAATTTGTTAAATAATGACAATCAAGGGGTCAGAAAAGGAGTAACTTCTAATAATGCTATGTCACGTAAGATGCACGTATGATGATTACTATAGTCTGACTATGAATCACACTACTCGAGCACATAGGTGGTGATACTGGGAATGTTCAATTGGCAACACTGCATGCTTGAGTTTTGATTCCTCGCCATTGGAGGTAGCGACAGAGGTAATTTTACTATTTCGTATATTAGGGATAACTTCTGCGTCTGGATGGTTGACTTTTGGATTTATCTAGTAGATTTTGTTATATATTAAACTGCCATATGCGTAGGCTTGATGTCTATGTGGTAGCTGCCGGCCAACAAAAGTGATGTGTGATTAAATAATATGAAAACTTAATAAGATGATATTTATCATATGCTATTGTCCTTTTCACAGTGTAATTGTTGTTAAAGGAAGCTTCCATTAGAAAAAAACGAATTAGATTCTCATTCTTATCCTTTGTTGCTAGAATTGTGACGTCCATTCCGATATTTTGTTGTACTAAATCTTTAGTAGAAGACGGTAAGTTTTAAACTAGCGATTTCGAGTATGCACACATTCAGATTTGGCAGGTGATAGTCGTATTATGGGTGTCAAGGATTCACAACAATCTTAATAGCCGAACAGTATCTTCTTGATTGGCCTGAATTGATAGATTTCTTGATGTAAATTAGCATAACGCTTTGTGATACAAGAATTTACAAAAGATTGAGTAGTTTTCAAGAATACAAAAGAAGGGCCTTGTGCTTATGACTGATGTTCTGTTGGTAGAGCTTTCTTTTGATTTCTTAATAGAATAAGAAAGATGAAATGATGGGCCCTAACATGAAACTTTTGAATGAGATGGTGGTGCGTAATTTTTGACCAAAAAGCCTAAAAATCAATCAAAGAAGTTTGGAAGATGTGTCTGCTGAAATATGGCAAGAGAACTCTCCGAAAAGCCAACATTCTCTAAACAAATCCAGAAGAAGCAATGAGTTTGGTGGAGAAATAATCATCTTTGTTCTCCTTTGCAGTACACTTTCAAAAAAAAAAAAAAAAAAAAACACTTAT